GAGGTTCAAACGAGAACTCCTATGATTTATAAGAACGCTAGAACAACCTACTAACCTCAAATTTTTTTTAATCAATAATTTAAATTATTTTAAATACAAATAAGTCAATAAGGACAGTATTGCAATTAGGTATTTTTTTTATAATTTTTATTTTATTTTAAGTAATTAGAATTATCCCATCATTTTTTGTTGGAATTGATGACGTTCACATTGGTTGGGATTGATCACGTTCACTGTATCACTTTCTTCCTTTTCACTTTCTGCTATCCTTTTCTTCCCATCGGTTCAAAGTATCCAAATATTTTTTCGACGTAGAATGGAGGATCTGAATGATGTAGGTTAGTAATTGAGAATTTGATGTTTATCACATGTGATAAACATCCCAATTTGAAATTATCTAAAGATAGTTCTGTTGATGATGATGAAGGTTCGATAATAGTGTGATAACAATAATATTTCAAAGTTTTTTTTCTAAATTGGTTGTGTTATCGTCAGAAGTATAATCATATGGACTTTTTATCACATGTGATAAAAGGTACATGGAATTCTGATGTCAACATTTTTAGTCGATTTATAATTATTGATACATGTTGATTTGAGTTTAATGTTATAGTAGTTTTGTAATTGAGAATTTTGATGTTTGACACATGTAATAAACATCTCAATTTGAAATTGTATGTTACTGTAATCCTTGATGAAGTTGATTATCACACTCATATCACACCAAATCGTGTAGTTGATTTCTTAAGTTAATCCTAGCCGAGCAGAATCATTGTGATAATTGTGTGATAATCACATGATTATCACACCCAAATCACACCAAATCGTGCTGAAATAAGCGATAACTATAATAGCCCATTATATTATCCCAGATTATTGGGTTTAGTGAGATCGTGTTTTTAAAATTTTATCACTTTGAATTTCAATATTACCCTTTTGCCTCTCAAATTTTTTTGAATTTTTTTTTATTTCATTTTTAATTTAAAAAATCTTTTAATTTGTATTGATCACAGTATGAGGTTAATAGGTCGTTCTCGCATTTTCGCAAATCACAGGGGTTCTCGTTTGAACCCTTCTTTATATATATATATATATATATATATATATAGGGAAGGGTTCAAACGAAAACCTTTGTGATTTACAAGAACGCGAGAACAACCCAATAACTCCATATTATGATAAAAAATAAAATTAAAAGATTTTTAAAATTAAAATTGAAATTTGAAAAGATTCAAAAAATATTAAAATTAAAAGAGTAATAATGGAAATGATATCATAAAATCTTTTAACACGATTACACGCTCATGATTATCATTATCTAATAAACGGTTAATCATGATATTATCATGTGATATGGGTGTGATAATAATGTGATTATCACACAATTATCAGATTATCGCTTATATCAACACGATTTGGTGTGATTTGGGTGTGATTTGGGTGTGATATGAGTGTGATAATCATGTGATTATCACACAATTATCACAAGGATTCCGCTCAGCTAGGGTTAACTTAGAAAATCGACTACCAATTTGGTGTGATATGGGTGTGATAATCATGTGATATCACTATCATAATAGCGCACTTGATTTGATCATGGTTTTGATCGGTTAGGGTTAGACAATCACACATTTATCACAATGATTACTCATGGTTTCGATATGTTAGGATTAGACAATCACACATTTATCACAACGATTGTGGGCGATATCCACTAAACGATTTGGTGTGATACGGGTGTGATAATCATGTGATATCACTATTATAACATCACTTGCGCACTCAATTTGATCATGGTTTTGATAGGTTAGGGTTAGACAATCACATATTTATCATAACGATTACTCATGGTTTCAATAGGTTATGGTTACACTTGATTGATCATGATTTCGATAGGTTATGGTTACACAATCACACAATTATCACAAGGAGAGAGAAGAAAGTGGAAACGAACGTGCAGGAAAAAAAGGGATAATTATGACTAATTAAAATAAATAAAAATTACTTAATTACATTATTGCCCTTATTAATTTATTTATATTTAATATTTAATTTATTAATTAAAAAAGTTTGAGGTTATAAGGTTGTTCTTGTGTTCTCGTAAATCACAAGGGTTCTCGTTTGAACTTCCACCTATGTATATATATGTATATATATAGTTGGGTTCACATAACACCAACCTATTTTTGTGAGACCAAATAACACTTGAAACTTTACAATAAAATATTGTAAAGGTAAAAAAAAAACTCCGAACCTTCACAGGAAAAATATTGGTGAAGGTTACTTTCACCGTGTTTTGCCGTGAAGGTTAGTGTTATTTAGATGGTCTCACATGATCCAATATATATATATATATATATATATAGGGGAGCGTTCAAATAAAAACCACTCAATTTGTAAAAAGCGTGAAAACCTCATTTAATCGATCATAATTTTTCATTTTGTTCATTTTTTTTTGTAATTATGAGATGTTGATTAACCATTTTTATTGTTGAGGGTGTTAATCATGGATATTATCATCTTCATTATTTTAATTTTAGAGAAATATATGAAACAGTTTCATTAAAATTTCATTAAATATTATATGAAACAATTTTATAACCATATATGAAACAAATTCATCAAAAAAAGATATTATATGAAACAATTTCACAAGATTAAACAATTTCATGAAAAAATTTCATAAGATTAAACAATGAAATCGACGTATGAGGGTGGTTTTCATTTGATCGCTCATCTCTCTCTCTCTCTCTCTCTCTCTCTATATATATATATATATATACACACACACACACATATAGGCACTCACACACAGAGAGATGGAGGATCAAACGAGAACGGTACTTATTTAAAAGCACACGAAAACGGGCGAATTACATTTGATTTTACACTAGTAACATCACATACAAAATCACATGTGATTTAAGCGACCTTGTCTGGCAACCTGAAGACGCAGCCACAAGTCGCCCAGACACTTTTTTTTACCACACAAGTCGCCCAGACACTTTTTTTTACTACTAATGTAAAATCACATGTGATTTTGCACGTGATTTGTCCGTTTCCATGTTCTTTTAAATAGGTATCGTTCTCGTTTGATTTCGTACATCTATATATATATATATATACACACACACACACTAGTGGTATACCCGCGCTGCACAATTCTGAAACATTAGTTTATACTTGAATTATAAGTTTGTGTGGTTATTTTGCAAGTCAACTATATAAAGTTGAAGGTTAATACGGTGTATTAACAAGATTGAATGGAAAAATAATTGCACACATATTGGATTTCTAAACCCATATATTTCTAAACCCATATACTCAGAACTCATTGCAAAAAATTAGAAATTTAAATTTAGTTGAAGTTTGAGAAAACCTCCAAAAGCTGAGACCATGAAACATTTTTGGGAAGATGTTTTACCAGGTCTAAAGCTAAAAAGAGGAGGAAATAGAGATGGAAGGAAAAAAGCAAAACTAAGACTTTCGGTTTGGGTGATATTGATGGTGTTGTATTAGAAACTTGTACATCATGCTTTACGAGTTGTAATTAAGAGATTTTTGAAATTCTTGCATAAAATGGTTGTACTTTGTGCTTAAATACTTGTACTTAAGACTTTGGTTTAAATACTTACTAATGTAGTATAGATATATAATGCCAGACTAGGACTAGAATAATTTTCTTGTTTGGTCTTGTGACCTTTTTCAGATCCTTTTCTTCTTTTATGGAAATTGTATATGTATATATTATATAGTAGCTAGCAGGAAACAGCCACCGTGTCGGAGGACCGAGCAGGGCATAGTTAAACCGTTTGACAAAAACGCTGCAGGCGCGATGCAGAGGATCTACGATCATAGAAAATGGCTTAACGAACCGTTCCGTTCGTCACACACTGGCCCCGTTCGCTAGAGTTGCTAGTGGGTCCGAGTGAAAGAGTCAAAAATCAAATGGGAACCAATTGAGAACCATGATCTATGTCTTATTTCACATCATAAAACAACGCATGTGAAAATACAATTATTTCATAATACTAGTATTTTTATCTCTGCATTTCACATTTAGTATTTCACAATAATACTAAATATAAAACAAAAATACAATTATTTCATAATATTAGTATTTTTATCTCTGCATTTCACATTTAGTATTTCAGAATAATACTAAGGCCCTGTTTGTTTTTCAAAAAAAAGCACTTAATTGCCTCTTATGTCTGAATCGGTCAGACATTGAGGTATTAAGTGCGTTTGTTTTTTTTTAAATTAAGTGCTTAAAACATCTGAATAGGTCTGATTTATTCAGAGGTAAACTAAAGTCTGAAAACCTCTTAATCACCTTCGCCTACTGCATACGCTCCCTTAGAAGAACCGGTTCCAGATTTGGCTTTCAAATCCTTTTGTTTATGAACCTCAGCGCGTGGACTTGTATCCGATTTCAAATTTGATTTCGATTTCGATTCCAAACCTTTTCTCTCGCATCGATTTCCATCGGATTGCTCTTCTGGACTGTCGGTAGAAGGAGGCAATTCCAAACCTTTTTTTCCATTTGGTATTCGTTCAAAATCAGCGACCTGGATTTCGACGGAGGGAAACGAGAAGCGGCGGGGGAGGCGGTGGTGGTAGGGAGGGATTTAAGCTTTCGGAGAGAGAGAGAGAGAAATAGAGAGATAGAGAGAAAGGGCTTCTAGTGGGTATATGATTATTTCCTTTACAAATTRTTGAGTTAAAAAATATTATTGAAATCATGAAATTGTATGTAAAACTTGCAAATTGAGTTTGTCATTAAACTAAAAAGCCTTGAACAAAATTCCAAATTAAGTTTCACAAGAAAAAAAAAAGATCATTTTTCAGATTTCAGACGTAAAAACAAACAGTCTGACTGATTCAGATTTCAGACTTCAGCACCACCTCTTAAAATTCAGAAGTGAATTCAGACTTCAGACTTCAGCACCTCTTAAAAAACAAACGCCACCTAAATATAAGACAACATATGATCACGGTTATCAACATAAAAGGTATGTTAACACCATTTAGAATGTACGACTACACGTCCTAAAAGAAGGTACCCACATTCTTTTATACAAAACAAAGACTCGATTCCATGTGTTATATAACATAAATGTAATGTATTCAAATCAAATCCTATATCAACTTACCCAAATTGTACCATAAAAAGGGTACAATTTTTCATCCAAAAGTTTTCAACCAGAATTCCGATTACGACAAATGTCCATTCAATATGTATTCAGTTCCCAACCTCGAAACCAAAGTGAAGTAATTCACGAACTGTTTTGGTTTTCGTCCAATCCTTGCCGCTCCTCCTCGTTACACTGTGCATCGGCTTGAACTGTGGGCGTATCTTGTGGCAATGGTTGTGTAACCGAGCTCGCTTGTGGCTCGGAGATTAAGCTTGTAAGACCTTTCTGCTTCATATATGTCTCCAATGGCTGATTTGCTGCTTGAAGAAGACTCATCATGCTTACATGGTTTTTTGCGTGATTATCTTGTAAACGGCGAGGATGGATGTTTAGGTCTAATTGTCCCTTGCCCGATGATCTCAACTCTGCAAAACCGGTTTCCATTTCTGTCTCCAATTTAAGCTGGTTTTTCTCCGCAATTTCCGCTTCACGTTCTGATTGGCGTTGTTGTTTGCGCAACATTAAGGTTTTGAAGCGGCGTTTGACTGTCATGCAGACATTGCAGGTGCAATTGGGCTTGTGTTTGCCTTTGCCGCTAGGAGGTTGACTGCAGACTATGCAGGAGCAACCAGGGCGGTGCCTTGGGTGTTTGGTGGTGGCGGCAATGGATGGCTCGGTTAGATTGTGTCCGGTTACTCCCTGCGCTTGGTCTGGCCTCCGCAACCTCTGAAATTCTAACCAACAAAATCACCCGAAGGTAAGTAAACCAAAGGAAAACTAACGATAGAAATTTGTTTTTAGCTAAAAAGGTACCCCCTCCATCGCAACAAGTGTCCATATTTCTATTTTAACTTAGTCCCATAACAAGTATCCACTTTCAAAAGGAAGTATTACTTTTCCAACCCTTAATTATGAAATAGAATTCATTAATTCCTCTATCATTAAGGGTAATAAAGATTATTTTAGACATTTGACGGAACACTTCACTAAAACTATCTACCCAAATTTTTTTGCAATTTTTGTACGACGGAGACAATACAAACAACGAAAACATCGTACCTTTAGCCAGCCCAAGAAGGTACTCAAGCTCTCTAGGGCTTAATTCATCTGGTGCAAGACAGACCGACCTACGGATACCAATTTATCAGCGGCTATATAATCAAAATTTGCTACATAACCCAAATATCGTATGGGGTCAGGTACAAATGACAACCGTAAATATTTTGAGAACATGGTAACAAACCATATATGTGTTACTGATAATGAATGAAAAATATTCATATTGAAAATGCATTATATTCATGAGAAAAATACGTGATATGGGGGCAGGTACAAATGACAACCGTAAATATTTTGAGAACATGGTAACAAACTATATATGTGTTATTGATAATGAATGAAAAATATTCATACTGAAAATGCATTATATTCATGAGAAAAATACGTTATATTCATGAAAAACATGCATCCTATCACGAACAATGAAAATGCATGATATTCATGACTATTTAAAGCTTATACAAGAAATCGTTGGTTCCTAGGTAATCAATATATTGACGAAGGATCATATGAGAATAGGGGTTAAGGTGAGAAGTGTAAAAAGGGATTTGGACCCTTGATCACTTTTAATTAGTGTTGATCTAATGATTCAGATGAAGTCCCAAAATAACCCATGAATTAGCTTAGAAGGGTATTTTCAATTGATTTCAATTAGGATTCATCCGCGGGTGGAGATCCCTTCTTACCCTTCTCATGATAACTACTATTCTTATCAGAAACCAACTCTCAATATATTTATGGTTCTCATTTGAACTTTCCCCATATTGTAAATTTGTTCAATTCTATGCAATAACGTACTAAAACTCTGTTTATCATGAGAATAATCCCAATACCCTCTAGGATTTACCTGCTCTGATCCCAGACATTTTCTTGACATGTCCATTTAGCAGGGAGAAGAAAATTAACAGGTAACCTTCGCCATTTTGAACAGTTATTGCATTGAGCCCACTGTTCTTGCTCCCTGAAACATCAATCTTGCCATACTAAGTAAACAATTGATTACAATCACATATAAAACGAGAAAAACAGTTATTCTTCGTGAATGGTGGATATAACTCCATGTTTGGTATCAAAATGTATAAAACAGCTTGGTCACAAGTGTTGGGAGCATATTTTACTCTTATTTGGTTGCATAGCATTCATGCATTTCCATCCATTTAGTATATTTTTGCATGTTTCTCTTTTAACCATCGCTCTTGGTCATGTTCGGGATGGTTTCATGTTTTCTATGAGAATTTTGTAGGTAATTAATGGTGAATGGAGTTTGGGACAACTTACAAGGTTGATACCAAACGACCATCTCAAAGCGTCTCTAGAGAAGTTCTACACTATCAAGACAAATGGAGCTTTATGATGCAATACGACTACGGTTGTTTTGTTTCTCACAAAAGGACAAGGCAAAAGAAAGGTTAAAGACTAATGATACCAACTTCTTCATCATTTGGGATGACTTGTCTCGAGCCTTCCTAGACAAGTTCTTCTTCCCACTAGGAAAAACTGTAAATCTTCGCAATGAAATTACTTCATCTTCTCGGTATTATGATAAGGCGTCATTCTATGAACGTGAGAGATATAAGGACCTCCATTGTCATTGCCCACACCACGGAGTAACAGAATGGTTGCTCATTCAAACCAGGGGCAGACCCACGTAGAAGGATATGGTGGCACAGGCCAAGACTTCATGGTTCTGTCATAAGGTAAAAAGTTACGTTTTTGAAACTGAAATGTTAGCACAGGATTTTAATGGTGGAGATGGTAAACGCTCCTACCATTATACAAAAGGCCCCCACTGATGTCAAATTTGTTAGTTTTTAGCTCAAATTTTGGTGTTTTTTATATACCTCTTGTGTTTCTAATAATATGTAGACAGGACGCAAATTCTATGCAGGGAAAAGAACCTACCAACAGATCTATACTAATATTGTCAATTTTTTCTTCGGATATTTTCTTATAGTCAAAGTGTACCACCACTTGAAAAAAAAATTAGGTCCGCCTCTGATTCAAACCTTCTACAATGATTTGAAGCAATAGATCAAGATATCCTTTGATGCTCCCGTGGGAAGGATAATCGTGAAGAAAACACCGGAAATTTGAAAAGTCATTTTTTGATATGATTGCAAATAATTATCATTCGTCAAATGAGCGGTTAATGCCAAAGAGAGATGGGAAATTGGAAGTGAATGGCTTAGACAATGTTGGCTACTAAATTTGACTCACGATCAAGTCAAATTCTAAATTGAGATCAAGTCCACGCAATTTGATTTCATCGGTTTCTCTTCACATAACACCTCTCAGCTATCTAAGGAATAAGGAAAAAGCTTGAGGATAGAAGAAATAAAAAGAAAAGATAGGAACATAGTCTGATAACTTGACCTTTATAAATCCTTCAATATCAAAAGATTTTCCACATTGGCAGGGGATTATCTAAAACCAGAAGTTAGTTGATCAGAATAAGCACAAAGATAGGAGTGGAGTACCTCAGATATGAAACATACTTGACCAAGACAAGAGGGCTGCAAGATTCAAAGTGTCAATCATGACAAAGAATGGATGACCTTTCATGAAGTCATGCCAGATAACTTCCTTGACTAGGCACATAGCATGGAGAGTTTCTTTATTTCATACGAGCTAACTAAAGAAAATGACTATGCAGAAGCAAGAAGTAGAAGGCGAGGCAAATTTTGTTGATACCAGTTTGAAAATACAATTGGCTGAACCTTGGAAGAAGGGAACATATGGGAATACCTATACTTAAAAAACAGGTTGTTTATTCGACCGAGTCAAAGCAACTTTGTTGGAGAGTTGAGTGTTTTTGCTCCTTGTCTATGCATGGATACTTAACTAGGGTTATATTCTTATTTATGTATGTTTTTTATACATAGTGCAACTTGAAGAAGGGCTTCTATGGCTATGGTTACTTTGAATTTGAATATCACTGACATCACTAGCTTAGTTTGAATATCCTAGATATACCTAAGACCATCAGCCACCAACCAGAGTCACTCTTGCAGTTAAAAAAGGGCTTCTATGGCTATGGTTACTTTTCGACACAATTGTAGTTGGTAAATAAACAAAGACACAGAGATCAGAGAAAAAATAATTTGTGTATGGCCCTTTCCCATTTGTTGTTGGGACCAAGTCAAAGGTCAATATATGAAAACCATTCAGACACAAGTGAAGTGTACCAAATAAGTAGGTCTCTTACAGAGATGGGCATTAACAAGTAAGCCATGATTTTTGCATGGAGGTCATAAAGAAGTTGTGCTTGAAAGCAAGGTTTTGAAAGATGAAAATACGAGGCAAGGTGTACACCTCAACAATAAATCTTTTTTTTTTCCATAAAATGCTTATAAAATTCATAACAAACAACTTAGGTTCATAACAGATTACTAAACCATTAATTTGAGCAATAGCTCAGGGATGACTTTGGTAATATACTCTAAATTGGGGGCAACCCTGCTATAAATTTCCAATCTTATCGCCTACTTCTCGACCACCTGTAGTTGGATGAGAGTGCAGAATCGACCACCACCCTCTCCTTCTCCCTTTTGTCTCCTACACCAATCAGATACTCCTTCTCAGCACCATTATCACCCTCATGGTGAGAGTCGTGAGGGAGGCGAATACAAAGATGCATGACTCATGAGGGGCAGGGCCGTCTCAAGGTTAAAATAGGCCTAAGGTGAAAAAGTTAATAGGCATAAATCTTTTTTTAAATTTAGTGAAATTCAACTTTTCTTGCTCTTTGAGAGGCAAATTGTTTACTTAGATCTTTATATTCAAATCATTTAATTAACTAGTTCTTGATAGATCATATAGCTAATAGCTAATCCATTTAATCTTTCTTGTGAGATTGTTGATCTTAAAAGAATTTTATTAATTTAATTTACATGATTCATATTTTTACTTGATTTAGAATTTTCAATAAACATATTTAAGGATAATAAATTTTGTGTTCAAGGATCATATTTAGTTTAGAACAAAATAAAACAACATATACACACAACAATAATAATATAAAAACTATTAAATAAATATGTGAAACATATGTAATTCAACAACTATAACATTGATAATAAGAAAGAAGATAAAACCTGAAGAATATAATAAATTTTTTGGAAAAAAAGATATGTCGAGTAATTCTCTAAGTTTTTCCAACATTTTTCTTTGAGTTTTCTTGACAAATATAGGGAATAGATGAGAAGAATGCACAAACTATAATAAAGTGGAAATTGAGGTGCTTATTAGTAATTAATATTTGTAGAACTCAAGAAAATAGAAATAATACTACGTAACTAACTACTTGATTTTGTTTGAAGAAATAATTTAATACATCATCTTAATTACAATTAGTATAATAATTACATCATTAAAGATGGGCCTTCACCATTAATGGGGCCTTAGGCAATTGCCGTAGTTGCCTAAGGCTTGAGCCAGTCATGGTGAGGGGGAGGGGAGATGAGAGAATCATGGGTGAGGGAGGAGAGGACAGAACCCTTGGTGACATCAAAGGAAACCCTTAGTGATACAATGTCTTCCTCCATTTGGTTTTATCCTTGGTCATGTTTGAGCTTTATTCTAGAAGGGGTAATAAAAAATCAAGAAGGAAAACCAGCTTCACTTCACTGGATCAACATAAGAGCTATGCAAGTCCCACCCAATTGATCCTAAGTGGAAGAATCTAGATCAACAATTATTGTTTGGTAGTAGTTTTATTACTATTGATATACTTGTTATTGGTTAAGTTAATAGAATAATTAGTATATGGAAATGAATGCATCCCTAACAGTGTTCCAGAAATCCCCGCTGTTAAAGCAGTTGGCGGCTGCCTAGACATTAAGCTTGTAGGAGTTTCCTGCAGTGCTTCATTAGTCATTGAATTGAGAAGATCCCAATTTGTTTAGTTGTGCTTGTTAACCAAATTTTCTCAACTTGTGCTCATTAATCAAGTATTCTCAACTTAGAGGGAATCTTATCAATTCTTTTCTGGGTAAAGTGCATCAATACCAAACCAAACAAAACAAAACAAAACAAACCCAGTGAATCCCGCATCGAGTTGGGCTCGGGGAGGGTATCAATAAACCAAACCACCGCAAACAAACCCAATATATCCCACCAGGAGGTAGGGTCTGGGAGGGCTAAGAAAATGAGCAGACATAACCCCTGTGTCAAAAGAAAGATAGGTTGTTTCCAAGAAAACCCAATGCTTGCGGAAACGGTTTACAAAAGGAAATATAAAGCACGACATGTGGAGGGTATCAATGAAACTACTAACTAGTAATCTAGAAACAAAGTGAAAAGGTAACAGATCCTTACCCAGATAAGCGAGCAGTGAATATGCTAACCTTGCCAAAAACAGGAGGTTCCTACAAAAGAGAGAACATAAAGTAATCTCAGCTAAAGTAGTAAGTCAGGATTGCCAGTGCTTGAGCAAAATGCCTGCTCGTGACAGTAACTTGCAAGATTACCACTCTGCCTAAAGTAAATAAGAATTTTATTTCTCATATGTTACATAGACAACAAGGAAGCCACAGAGCTTTTGAAGTAGCCTTAAGCCTTAACTAAAAAGGAGGCTGTAACCATATACGTGTTTTTTATTATTACAGCGTTAACTGGATTCTGCTTCTTGCAGATCCAGGGAACATCTATAATGTTGTAATTGCAGCTGGGTCTCTACTTATTATAAGTGATAACTACATAATGTGGTTCTTTGAATAAAACTACTTCGCTGATTTTCACATTCTGGTTTTGTTCTTTCCACTGTTAGTTCCTTTGGGTTTTGGGTTAGGGGTGAAGCCAGAAAAAAGAGAATTACAGGCATACATAGCCATTGATAGGAGAATGGCATCACAGAAAATAAATCCACAAGCCGTCAAGCCTGTTACTCCAATTTCTGGTACCAAAATGTTAATTCATGGGCCAAAACTATGAGCACTGTTAAGGTTACTCTGTGACACTAGATCTGCACTCCAAGTTTAGTTAGCAGGCAGATGGTGAAGTTCTGTGATGCATATGATACGGAAAATGAGGATCACTTACTTCGTATTCTTCAAATTCATGGTCCTCAATGGTGATGGTACTTGGCTTCAGAGCAGTGGGTGGGCTCAGCATATCCTGCAATTCTTCCCATGTGTATTTCAGCTCTAGAGCATCTTGACTTTCAATAAGCAACCTTTTACTTTTCGAATTAATATTTCGACTTCTCTTTTTGTCTGGTTGAAATGAATCAACACTTGATTTGCTTCCAAGCTTTTCGTTTGCATGCCTGCTGGCATCTCCAATAGGCGAGTTCGTATTAGTTGACAATGCATTTAGATGGGAATCTGTGTTTCTCTTCAGAGACTGGAGAAGGCCAGAGTAATCACTCATATGAGAAAGATTCCCAATAGTGTTAACACCAGATAAGGAGGGTTCACTTGGAAAGACACCACTATGTATTGCAGCTATACGAGAATCCTGTTCAGTTGATGTTTGTATATCAATACTATATTATTCAAGTTCGCTTGCGTGAAATGGCAATGACAATCTCTTATCCAAACAAGTTGGGTTAGCCTTGACTTATAATACATTAACATGAGTATGTATCAGAAGCGATCCATGATCTACAACATATTTAAATCAAAAGCAATCCATGATCTACAACATATTTAATATACTATATGAAAGTGAGTTACCTGCATAGAAGCACTGATTGGGGCTTTCCGGAAGCCCATAAGAAGCTTTCCTTCCGGTTCCATACGGCTGAATGTCACTGGAGAAAGGAAATAAAGGATGAGTAAGTAACCAAAATATTAAATGAATAACTACAAGGTTATATGAGTTTACCAGAGAGAAACCCAAGATTTGACCAGGACAATTGAGAAGAAATATAAAATCAGAGAAGCACACATTAGGTAGATGGTGAAAGTAGCCATGATAGGAAATCAAATAGCGCATATCGTTTTGAGGTGATTTGTTTCACAGTTGGCACTGTGTGAAATTACATAGAGGATTAATAATATTGTTTAAACAAGGCAATCTAGTTGTATGGGCAAACCAAAACTAGTAGTACAACATAAGGTGAATGCTTTAGGTATAACAAAATATATCTATGAAAGGAATGAGAAGATGAAATGGAGCCGGTAGATTACCCCTAGTAATGGGATACGTAAGTCGACTTAAGAATAGTAAAAAGTACAAGACAAGTAATGTTAATCTATGCCAAATTTATGATCAGAAGAACTACTAGAAGATTCATATTTACCAGCATCATTAATAGAAATATCACAATCAGCTTTCTATATCAAACTCACAGAAATATTGGTAAGCAAAACACGGAACAATGGTTTCACAACAAGGAGATTCGGGTGTTGGATGAATACCAGTATCCCCGGCCTTCAACTGCATTGACTGTATGCATGGAGTAACACCCTCTAGAACATACATCCGGCTGTTGTTATTAGGCCAAAACCTGAACTGAAACAGCCACTCTTTTCCTTTCACATCTTGAATTCTGAGTGGAAGCCCTTCAGGTTGAGATATAGGTGGAAAATATGCCTGTAAAGTAGTTGAACATTACTCATAGGACAGACAAAGGCTTTCCTCCTGGATAAGCAACTCAATTTCAAACAAGCTGACGATGTAAACTTACTTCAGCACATGCTTTCGGGAGAACCAAACGACCAATTCGACCAGCATCACTGGCACTCAGAACCTTCTCAAACAGTGGAACAACGGTGGCATTTGAACTTAGAAATCAAGATTAAGGAAATGATTACATTGTGAAGTATAGAGTAACACCCTGATTTACACCACCGTCCTGACAAAAAGAGAACTTTCGATTTTGGAAATTCCAACCTTCTACTTCTAATTTGAAATTGACATAGATGTTAAGCTAGTTAGTTTCATTGTATTATCTTTGACATGTTATTCTATTAATGTAGTAACCATCTTTGCAACCCAAAACAATTCTTTATCAATTTTTAACGTTAATAAATTAACTAACTTGACATGCAAATCCAATTCTAGACTTCGTTTTCAGGTTGGTGGGAATGCCAAGAGAATTAAGGAAAACATCGTTGAACATGGATACTCTCCAGATATCTGCTGCAACTCTTGTTCTGTAATCCTGGGCCAATAACGAGGAAGCAGCTGATTTTTTATCCGCCCCTCAACAGGTGGCCGAGCAACACGTATCTGTGAATTCATACTAGCATTTCCATCATATCCTTGGGCAAGGATGGATTTGGGCACTTTGGGCAAAACATGGCGAGACCAAGGCCCGTGCTGAAAAGAAGAATATGATTTGTTCAATTCCCTTTCTTCAACAGCCATACTGGGAAGAAAAACTGGGTTTCGTGAAGAAGCCAAGCCAATAGTTAAGTCTGTTTGGACAAGTGATCCATATGCATCTTTAACCCCCGTACTTTCTTTATATTTGATAACTTTGGTTCCATGAGCAGATTCAGAAGTTCCATTGAAAGTTGAAATTGATGGTGACATGGTTTGCATTTCTCCTTTAGGAGGCAAACTTTCTTCTTGTTTCATTTGAGACGTAGATGCATCATCGTTATCAGATGGAAGAAAGTATTTTTGGCCATCATCACCAGTGCCATCACCACATTGTTTCAACATTTTAATAGAGGAGGATCGCATTTCTCCAACACTATTTTCCACTGAAACACCACATTCTTCGGGCTTATCCTCACTTGTGCTCTGCATGTAATACAATAAACATCAATAATTGAAACTTAAAGTATATATTAGCCAATCTTGTTGTAAGAATTTGTAATATTCGACACAAAATGATGATTGGGTAAATATTTTAACCTCCTAACATACGAAAGACGTATATTGGGGAAATGAACATTAGCTTTACAGTCAGAGCAGTACCTGCCAGAATGAAATGAATTATCTACAAGACAAAAGCAATTGCGATATGGTAGAAACATGGTTAAAAGTTGATGCAAAAGGCCGGCACCAAATAATATATTCGGATGTAGCAAGTAAAACTATTTGGTAAGGGAGTACTACCCTAGTTACATATGACCCCTTTTTGGAGGAAATTTCAGTATAGAGGTTACTGGTAAGTTATGGCCTATGAAGCACCTATACTTGAATTGTACCGCCACATCTCCACAGGGTGCAAACCAGCAAGTTGTGGCCTATGAAGCACCTATACTTGAGTTAGACCACCATCACTGCACTGGGAGCGAATTGGGTGCAGCTGGATATGCACTGTATGAGCACCCTTCTACCGAAAGCGAAAAAGAAAGCATCTTAGCTGAAGTGATGTGTCCGCAGTGCGGTTTTGGTGCAAGTGAGATATGATCTGGCTTCATTTTTCAATTTTTGTTGTTTTAAATTACAGCTATGTCCAAAATGCATCTGAACACTTGAAAGACTTGAAATCTACATATCTATACATATTATACATAGAGAAAGAGGAGGGTTTCTAGAGAAAACCCTAAAAAATACGGGAACCCCACATTAACCGTTAGATTAATTGATCCAAGAGGGATGTGATTAAAGGGGTGGTTTCAACTTTATTTTTAAATTAAAAAGCCTCCCGACCCCCAATTTTTAATCGGAAAAAGAAGAAATATAATAAAATTTTGGAGCAAAACAAACTACACAAAAAAAAGTTATCATTTTATTCTCTTTAATTTGACATTTATACTGATTTTTTATATTTCATTCGTGGTTGCCCGGTTTTGAACCCAACCCTATATGTACATGTACATGCATGTAAACTAAACCAAACCAAATCAAACAAACCAAGTAGATTCCATCCGGGAGTCGGGAAGATGTATACAAACCTATCCGCTAACTCAAGAGATAGAGAGATTGTTTACGAGAAGACCACACCTTGCGAAATAGATATGGGACGCTTAGCTAAAACCACATGTATGCAAAAAAAAAATTAACGCAAATTTAGAAAAGATTGCAAAGAGCGTGGAACAATAAAGGAAGTTGAAAGTGAAAAGAAAATAAACAAAAGAGAAAAACGAGAAGATGGGTCGAACAACAAGGATGATAGAGACAGCTAAACCGGCAAGACCTAGCTAAAAGCACACAGGATACTCCAAAGATTACCCCCTCTATCTATCCTACGGCATTAGATGTAGGTATGTAAAAACAATAAAAGTACATGAGAAGAAGATGATCGTCTCTCTTTCTTGTTACTTTCTTCAAGGGAGTAGAATACAATTTAACTAGAAAAGCTAATTAGGAAAGACAATCCTAAAAATCTCTGGTAATTAGGGGTTGACAAAAAAAATCTTTCCCTTGATTATAGGATATCGACTTCCCAAACTTGATACATATTTCTGGATATCCGATCAATTCAAACTGGGTCGTGAGCAATGTTGATGGTTGTTTTGTTATCACATTAAAGCTTGGAGGACTGATTTGTTGTTTGAGATCCATTAGAACTCTTTTTAGCTGAAGAACTTCAATATACCCTGATCCATTGATTTGAATTTAGCCTCAGGGTTGCTTCTTGCAACTATACTTTGCTTCTTATTTCTCCAAGTAACCAAGTTATCCCAAAAAAACATGCAATACCCTAAAGTTAACCTTCTATTAGTAATCATAAATCCCCAATTTGTATATGTATACACGTCAACCCTTCTTTTCTCATTTTTCTTGAAGAAAAGCCCTTTTCGTAGTGTTTACATAAAGAAGGATCTATATACAGCTATTAGTGTTCTTCTCTTCGGGAACGCGTAAATTGGCTTGCTTCTGGTACTGACGTATATCCACAAGAATTCCCAAGAGTTCCATCTTTTGTTTCCCCAAGCTTAGCATTAGCCTCTACTGGTGTATCGACGGTTTGCAACCAGCCATTCCAATTTTCTTCAAGAGATCGATAATATATTCTCATTGTGAGATCACAATATCCTTCTTTGATCCTGCCACTTCCAACCAAAGAAAATACCATGTAGACGACCAAAATAGAGATCTTGTCTTTGAAGGATCTCTCTGTATAGAGAGTATGGTCAGATAGTCCTTGGTTATACCGCTGGCTCTAAAAGTTTGTGAACCTTTCAAACCAGGCTCTCGGGAATTATTTAAGTCCATGCAGAGACTTTTTAGCTTACACTTTCCCTCCAAACATTTCAATAAAAGTAGGTGGTGGCTCCATATTTACTTCTTCCTCTGAGCGTTCAATTGGAAAAACATTTTGGACTAATGGCGAGTCAAGATTGGCTGCAATAGACGAGAGTACCCAAACTACACTCAATTTTGGCACTGGTGAAAAGTCTCCAAGTAGTCCACCCAATAAGTTTGAGTAAACCCTTTGGCTACTACGTGAGCCGTGTATCATTCCAAGGTCCAATCTGAGTTGTACTTCTGTGTAAATACCCATTTGCAACCAACAACTTCTTCCATCTAACAATTCCATTTTCTCCCAAGTAGATAAATGTGTAAATATCCATTTGCAACCACTCGAGACTTGTTAGATAAAGGTATAATATGAATGTGAAATATTTTTGTAAGATACATATGACTAGGGATATTTTGTACAAGATATACTACCTTTCTAATGGCAACCAGGAGATCAAGATGGTTAGATGGATATGACTCGAATTACCTGGAGAAATATTTTGAGGATTTTTTAGAAGTTATCATGAACCTCATGATTTGATCTACAGTCAGATTCTTGGTGATGTTGGATGGTCTTCCTCCTTTTTTATGCTAGATGTTCCCTTGAATATACAAGACCTTTATATAATTTCGCATCATCCTCCGTGGTTTCAGCCTTTTCATTTTGAGACGACATTACAGGTTGTTTATTGATGCAATCAATATTTTCATAATTTGTTTCCACTGATTTAGATTGTCATTTTCTTTAACATAACCATCATTATGGACAAATGGTAAATCAGAACCATCTATAATATCAACTTCACTGGCATTGTTAATTCAAGTTTTTACAATATTTCTATGCTTGCTGCATGTGTGTTTGTAGGGTATGGCCTCACAGTAGAGTGTGATCATCAAAAACTTGAAAGACTACTTTTCTACGAATTTAAATAAATTAACGGTGTTTCTTAGTTAAGTTAGTTTGTCTATTTTATCTATTATAATACATGCATTAGCATTGGCTACTTTCCAGACAATTAAACTATGAAAAATTTATTTAATTTTCTGGATCCAGATTTCTCAACTTGTGAAGACTAAAGCCAATTGGTAAACTTGGACGAATTTATAGGAGTTAATAAAATAATATCTTTTAGTTGAGTCCCATGATACGAGAAAGTTGAACTTTTTTGGTTGATCTTGGTTCAAAGAATGGCATGTTTCTTCCAAATAGAGATAAGAGTAGATGTAACTTGATCTTACAGGTTCGCGTCTCAAACTATTTGAGCAGCTGGCACAACTTACACCACCATCCTCAAGTAGTTCGATGAAAGCACTAGAAGCAATGCATCCACAATGGAGTCGCTGTATTAGCAGAACATATTAGACAAACGAGAACACAGCATTTCCCAAATGCATACAGAACAGGGATGTGACTTAAATAATTATGTAGATGCTTACCTTGCCACATGAAGTGCACTCCCTCCAACCAGTGTCCACAAGGTGGAACAGTTCACAGAATGCTAGTTTTTCGTAGGCAATACTGGAACAATACAGAACTACAAATGTTAAGAAAGTTATTTAAAATCACCTACAAAAAATATATGCAAGCTAGAAAGTTATCTGTCAAGAAAAAAGTTACGGGACTTATGTTGCTGTTCTTTTTGGGTTTATACAATAAAAGCAATTCCGTCTCATAATAGCTTTGTTCAAATCTAGTTCCCCTCCTTGGGTAGGCTATTTACAGAGAGGGAACCCACTACAATTACCCAATTACCAAGATTGGATTAGTTAAGTAGCAATATAGATATGAGTGTGTACAGCCTAATTTAGTATTTGATTATACAAACAGTACATGTTCTTTGAGTACCTTCAAATTTTAATTTTCAATATGCATATCTACAAAATAAAAGAAGTCCAGTTCAAAAGGGTTACCAAGTAGTTTACTCCACCTTGTATGAAATTTTCTGTAATTCATAGCAAACTTATTGCTTGGGTTACAAATATCCCCAAACATGAGGTGGATGGAGTCATTTATGAGAGTATTAATGGAGGCATCATATGTATTGCTTAAGCCAACTTGCATGAGACTCATTACAATTGTTCATGCACGGGCAATGTTGCTCCATTGCGAGAGTGGTAGAAAAAGGAAGACCAAGATTTTTCCTTCAGCACCAAGATTGGGTGATTTGATTTCTATGGCGAATGTTCATTTGAAAAAATATGGAAATGTACAGTTCCCTACTAAGAAAATATAATATGTATATTTGTCAACCGATTCTCATATATCTATCAAAATAACATGCTCTCACCTCTCTATTGCTCTCTCATACCACGTATTGCAACACTTCCTCCCCTTTCCACATCATACAGTCCTGCCTATGCTTGTATTCCATTACATGCGTATATTAGTGTCATTAGTAATGTTTCGCTAACGACGCTCTGTACTTCCCAGATACGCTAGAGAACGATGCATCAAGGTTCCTGATGGTTCATTCTGCATGTGAGATGTTGAATGTATTAAGGATTACAACTTGAGCACCACATGACTCTTTCAATTCCCTTGCATTGAAGTTCTCCACCTCTTTTCCATCTTACAGGTTTTCCACACAAGTAGTGTTGTCAGTTGCGTCTCATATGCTTTCTGCTGATTATATGTAACAGCCATAACGTTTACTATGTCTCTATAGAGAAAGCCGGCTATTACAATAATGCATAGCATGCCTGGAGTTTGCTACATTGATTTGAGTCTTACTGGTTTGACTGATGATTAGTTGCTTAGAATCTTCCACAACGTATAAACAACCAACAGAACCCATATATTATCAAGTAAAACCTTGTGCATAAACATTTTCAGTTGCATTCTTAAATATTGACTTGATTAAAAAATATGGAATCTCCCTAAAAGGCTCAGATCATGAAGTCATTGTCCTTCTAATCAACAAACTATAGGCATATTGGTCTCACCAGAAGCCTCTCCATCTCATCTATGATTACATGGTTGTCCTCTATTTTCCCCCTCCATTGGCAAAGCCTGAGGAACCAAGAGGACTCAGGAACAAGTTGGAACCTCAACCCTCACATACCAGCAAGTCTTGCTATATAACTAATTACTATATATCCTCCAAACTCACTCAAGAGAATGCCACTCCCTGCCCTCCAGACTTACTGTAGCATTGCACGTCTCGTAATAATATAACTTAATGTCATACCTAGCCCTAAAGATAGAACATCCACTGAAAATTGAAAATGCAGTTTTTTGATTGTGTGGCAAACGCTCTCCTTTTTGAAAGGTATGCAGTTTCATATTACAAAGATAAAAGTCAACTATCTCAATCCTCACCCATTCCATTTTTCAAAATGTGCACCCAGGAACAAAGCTTAATTTGTCAA